CTCCATAGAAGGGACTTAGAATACCTGGGCAGCACAGATCTGTGGCACACAACTCACTGGGCTCTGGTCAGTGGCTCATTACCAAACCTCTGTCACTTCTCAGTTCACATTGCCTGGGTAAGAGCATAGGGATGGACATAGGTCTATCTATCCAAGGTCTATCTATCTATCTATCTATCCAAGCATCCCACCTTCAACATGATCAAAAGCAAGTAGCTACAGAAGAGTATAAAAAATATCTCTTTGCAAGCATGTAGCAATACTTCCCCAAAGAGTTTCCCTGTGTCTAGTTACATCTCAGGGACTTTCAGAGCCAAAGATGAGATCATTATTCTTACTAGTTTTTGTATTTCACAAACCTGTCCAGTCTCCCTCCCTTGACTTGTACAGCCATATGAACTTCCTGGCATTCACAACATCCCAAAGCAAGGATTATAACAGCTGGAAAGGAGTGGTACTCTATGCAGTGGGCATTCTTTTTGAGCCTGACACCTCTTAGCTTTCTTTGAGGACCCCAGTTTGTGTACTGGTCCCCTCTGATCCCTATCCATGCCATTCACCATTTCATAGATGTTGACTTGTCTACTGCTTACCTCTCTGTGGCAAGCTGAGCAGTGTTTATGCAATATGCAACAGGAAGAAGAGTTGGTGATGGAAGGAAGGCTATTTATACAGCAATATTCCTGAATACAGAGATAAAACATGGAGAGACAGCCTGTAAAACACTCATGCAGTGTCTTATTTTGACAGACGAGTCTTTTCACTCCATTTTGTTATGTGAGGGCTTCACAATAACTGCAGATTGCTCCAGTGTTTCCATGGATGTGCACTGTATCTGCAGGCTGGCTGAACACATCCCTCACATCTCTCATCCTGCCTTGCAGACCCAAGGACCAGGAGACAGGCAAACGGCTGCTGGCACACCGAGTTCCCCTCTGCCAGATAAACACTGTGACCCTCAAGTATATCCCCAGGAATCATTTTTGGAGCAAGGATGAGCCATTCATTGTTGGCAAGTTCTGTGTAGCACCACTGCCTCTCAATAGCAGGTAAGCCTCAGGAATCTCATACAGGGATGCACTGAGCCTATGGACACAGCCTGTGGTTTGTTTTGCATTTTTTCTTCCTGTTTAGGGAAACACTTGAAGAGGTTTTTGCATCACCTCTGTGTCCCCATGTAACTCATTTTGTACTTGTGAAAGAGAAAAGCTACAAAGGTAGTTGTCTGGGAGTCTTTTAAAATTCTTCCCCCAAGATAAAAGTGTTGTGCCATAGAAGAAATAAGGCTGCAACTCACATCACCTTGAAGATACTTAAGTTACAAACCATGGCAAAAGCTTGTACTGACTAGAATTTATTCTTTTGTCCTTGTTTGCCCTCTCCATCTTCCCCTATCTAAAATGGGCCCCCATGTAAAACATGACAGGTAAACATTTTTCAGTATGAGACAACAGAAGAACAATAATATATTTCTGTGTCTTATACAGCAAGGTTTATAAAGCTCTAAGGCTATAGACAACCATTTTGGCATTTTCTAGGTCAGACATGGTAGACTATATGCCTCCAGCCATAGTTACCTTTCTCAGAGGAAAAGCAGCCAAGTCCTTCTCATCCTGAGAGAGATAATTGTCTTCTCCATAATGCAACATTCTTGACAGGAGTTTTGCAGATCCAAAGTTCTTGCAGGCAGGACAAAACTGCTGGGTTTATACTGACCCATTCAATTGTCCTTCCACATTGTTGCTGAAATGCTGGCTCAAGGCTGTGGCAAGCTATGGATACTTCAAAGTAGGTTCAAATTCTGTTTTGATGGACAGTAAGGAGGCTATTATCTATATCTATCTATCTATCTATCTATCTATCTATCTATCTATCTATCTATCTGCAGTAGGCTCAGACAGGGGAAGAAAAAAGGCAATCCTATATAAATACCAAGTACTCCCTTGAGTATAAGGATTATTCCTTACTAGCATGTTTTGCACTCCAGAGTTGGGGTGGATGTGTTTTATCCCTTATGAATGGGACAGCAAAGGACATTACCTGAAAGAGGTGCTAACCTGCACCCCTGGAAGCACTGGACTTGGCTTTGGTACAGATAGAAATCTGTAGAGTTGCACAGGCTCACAACTGTGCTCCTGTGACTATGCTGGGAGCACTCAGAGCAGCAGTGCTGCTGCTCAGGTCAAGGGAAAGGTGAAGGACACAAGTCCATGCACATCCTTCCTGCCAGTTCATTCCAGCCAGAGCATAGCACCCCATTCCCTATCCCTTGCAAAGCAGTGCAGGGTCCAGCACTTTGCTTGTTTCTGTGTTAGGGTAGGAACCTGCACCTGCCAATGCCCAGCCTGACCTCTCTGTGCTCTTCCCACAGCAGGACAATGTCATGTCTGCCCTGGAGCCTCACCCTCCCCAGCAAAGCAGACACCTCCTATGACCTGCCTGCTGCTTGTGCCTAGCTCTGCCTTCAGGACATACAGAACCAGAAAAGAGTCCTAAATCTATTGCTGCTCTCTTCTCCCAGATGATACTTTCACCATAAAACTGGATGGGTTTTTTACTCCCTGCATTAGGGACAAGATGTCAAGGAAAAGAAGTGCATGGCAGATTGACAAATACAAGGTTAACTGGTTACACCAAAATCTTCCAGTTAAAAGACTGGATTGATGTTTTTGTCTCACAGGTTCTGTATCCAGCTCTCAAAGTGAGACAGGAAAGTCATTTAATCTCAAGGCTTGAATCTGTATGAAAGAAGGAGTGGTTAATATAATTCTTTTTATAGTGGGAGTATTAGTATAATTCATTAGTGGTTTATATACAAACTGTTCTGTAATCTTCGTATTAAAGGTGAGAGCTGTTATTTTTCCTCAGCAAGAGGAAACTGTGGTCCAAGTTTGGCACATGAAGGAGTCATTCTTAGCCAGAGCTCCAAGGGGAAACTCACTAATCCCATCTACAAGCTGCTTTCAGAGGGAGACCCTATTGATTTCACAGCACATAAATCTCTCTGAAGCTCACATGAAGTGAAGCAGGCACCAGGAGCAGCACAGAGCTCTCACATCCAATTTTGTACTGCTTTCACCATCTGCCCAGAATAGAAGGTAGTAGGAGAATGGAGCACTGTAGCCACAGGGCCACCTACCACAAATGAATCCCAGGAGCTCAGCACAGCTGTTCAGACCTGAAAAAGTAGTTGAAGTGTGGAAATAATTGGTGAAAGATTACAGTGGATGCATGACCACAGAAACAACACACCCACACCTTTTTCACACCACGATACATATGCAAATTAAAGAGGTGACAAGTCTTTCATAATTTCTGACCACAAATCACATCTTCTGTTGACCATTTTCTCTGGTTCCCTGTACTGGCTTCACTGAGAGACAGAAAAGCGCACCAGGAATTCCATGATCAGGGATGAGGGACATGCTAAAAGTATTGAAGAATTGTTTCAAGTCATTTGCCATGAGCTGTCACTCCTGCTCCACTAGACAGTGTCACAGCAGGATTAGCTCCTGCTTTCAGTTCACATCCAAGATTTTGGGCCCTGCCTTATGACTGTTTAGAAGGACAGCTAACAAACACCATTTCCAACACACACTTGGAAGGGATAGAGCTGCACTCTGACAACCTGAGAGAGATCCAGGTTAGCTGGCTCCATGATTGAAGAGTTTCCTGGGATCTTCTTGTTGAAGACTGGAGTATAAACTCAGCAGACACCTGTGAAGGGCAGTGTGTAATTCAGCCCAGCCTGGTCCACTGCTTCAGGCAGGTGCATAAAACACCTCGACAGATGGACCCAGTTCCACTGCACATTTCAGCTCCTTTGCAGAAGAGACCCTGACAGCTCCCATGTCAATCTGCTGCAGACATTTCTGAGCTGTGAACGGCAGTGGGGTCAGGCTGAAGCACCAATGTATTGACAGAGCATGGTAACAACCATAAGCAGGATGATTCCCAGGCCTGGGGCAGCCCCATTCTCCTGCCCTGGTGTGGCAGCAAAGGCTAACAGTGCAAGGAGCTGAGTACAGGTCCCACATACCCGCCATTCCAGAGGCCCTTGGCAAGAGTGCCAGATCCCAAGGGCACAGGTTTTGCCCAGCTGAGACTTGTGAGACAGGCCAAACCAGAGGCTGGGCCACAGCCCCTGTGTGAGCAGGGCAGGGCAGGGCAGGTGGGGCTGCTCCACCAGCCCAGGGCTTGCACAAAGCCAGCCCCACAGGCAGAATGGCTGTGCCCCAGCATGGCTGTGCCATGAGGCACTGAAGGACACCCTTCCCTGTGCTGAGGGAAGGACCAACATTCCTTGCTCTTTACCTGAATACCTGCCCTGGAGAGGCTCTCCACTGCTCAACTTGATTGCACCAACTCAACTTGATTGCACCAGGCTCTGTGAGACAGAGGATTCTTCCACAGGTACTTCTAATTCTCTGACTGAGAAAATGGCTGGGGAAGCTCAGGAGACAAATGCTGTTGCAGCTGAGCTTGGAAGAGGCCTTCCATCTCTACACTATTTTCATTAAGGCATTGTCCTTCCTACCAACAGCTGCTCTCGTCACAGATGTTTTGTATCCATTACTTTCTTCATTTGATGTTTGTGCACTCTGAGGTCACACCCACCTTGAGCACATTAAAAAAGGGTTCTTTCCTACACCTGTTCCCAATCTCAATTCCTCCTCTTTCTTATTTCAAGAATCAATGCAAACAACCAACCAGAAGTCTTTTTTCACCAGCTTCTTTGAGAAGTTGTGTCATAAATGAGAAATTCTAACTCCTGGAAAAGTAATTTCTGATCTTACTAGAGTGGATGCCCAGCAAGATGCATATCATCAAACTCTCCATTGCAAGCCTTTTACCAAAGCTGTCAGGCCCATTTCCCCTTGCCCTATCCACTCTGTGCCTTGAGATCACCTCAAGTGATCTCCCTCTTCAAATCCTCCCTCCCTCCCTCCAGCTGTTTTCTCCCTCTTCAAATCCTCAAACACCAGTAGTTTCATCTCTGACTTTAATGGGAATCATTGAATCAAAAGGAACACAGATTCTGCAAGCAGGCTGGTATTGCTTGCAGGATTTTGGCGCACTTTGGTGACAGAGCTGCTGACAACCTCAGAGAGGCAGGACTAGAAAACAGACCGTGGAAGCACGCTGGGGAAGGCAGCTCTGGTGAACAGCCATGGGGTGGGAGGTGCTGGAGTGTCACACTGCAGTCCTAAGCATGTGCTTCATGTGCTCCTGAGTGTAGATATCTGCTGGCAGACGTCTCTGCATGCTAAAGAGTGTCTCTGGTCAAAAACCTGTGCGAGCATCTGCTCCCTTGGAGGGGCTCCGGGATGAAAGCAGCCTGTTGTTCCCTAGAGTTCGGGGGTCTGAGTGGGAGCCAGAGGGGCTCGTCCTTTGCAGAGAGGGTGAGAGCTCTGGAGATGGTTTTCAGAGGCTGCAGAAGGAATGCAGTGGAGGAGGGAGGAAAAGGGGAACAGGGAACAAAGCAGGGAGGGAGAGAGAGGGAGAAAGAGAGCACACCATTACTACCATACTTTCAAACTTTTCCAAGACACAAACCTCATGGAGCCCACCATTACCTGTTCTTCTCCCCTCCTCTCCTAAATGACAGTGCAAAACTGCAAAACTATGTAATTTCTCAATAACTGATAAATCAGGAAACAGGGTTATGCACCCATTCTGAGATGGCAAAAACAAACCCTTCCACAAAGCTTCTATGATATTGGTTAAACAAAGCCCACAGTTCCTTTGCTTTTGCTCTCAAAGCATGTACAAAACGTTAACTACTAACTTAGATACCAAGTTGCAGACCATCAAGCATCCATCCACCCATCTCACCCACCAAATAGAAAGGCAGCCCCAAGATGTAATTGTAAAAAAAAAGGTAGCAACAGCTACACATCCTGCAAGCACTTGATAGCAACAAACTAGAAAAAATGTAGTATGAACAGGAGAAAAAGCAGGTGGCTCTTGGCTGTTTAAATTTCCTGGCAAGGAATAAAGCTTAGTTTCCTCTGGAGCACTGAGCTATACTATACTGTTAAAGCAAGTAGTGTACAGAACCTTTGAACCTGCCTCTTTGAACAAGCAGCATCCTCCTTAGAGAATGAAGGTGCTCATCAGTGGATATCACTGTCCACCTTATTCATAAGCAGGCTAGAAATGCTTTCAAGGAACTAGCTGACATGAATAGTAGGCCAATATATCTTCCATGAATGTTTTCTTGTGTATGACCTTTGTAGCACTTTGGGCATTCAAGAATTGCCCTCCTGAACAGCAGTGTTGCAAGGTGGCTGCTGGAGTGACAGAAAAGGAAAAAGAACATCACCCACAGAAGCACTTCAGCAGGGGGAATTTAGAGAGCTGCAAGGTGATTACCCACATTGGGAGTTAGTGGGAAAGGAGATGGGAGCACAGACCAGGGGAAAGCCCCAGGGGAGCTCTGCCCTCAGGGACTTACTTTGAAGAATGACACTGCAGGGGATTTCCCTGTTTATTACAGATGTAGGAAAAAGTTAGGAAAGTGCTTTACCTGAGCCTTGGCAGACCTGCCCAGATTATTTGCTGAGCTGTGACAAGTTTTTAGACAGAGTGAAAACCTGCAGCCCCCCTGTATCACTAGTTTTTGTGGTGAGGCACTCAAGTCACTGTGGAATATTGTCCAGATGTGACAACTGCTGCTGTGCCACTGGGATGTGATGTGGGATGTGATGGGATGTGATGTGGTTAGGACACACAAGTGCCAAGTAGGGCAACAGGGAAGTTCTCATTCCACCACTATGAGAACAATAAACAGAGTTTTGGATTCCTTGTCTAATTACCTTAAAAATTCAAATACCACAGTGTCTATTGTCTCTAGACTGACGGATATGGAAGATCATCTTCCTCTCCCACCTCAAATACAAGCCAAACCTGGCTTTTACTGCAGGTCTCTGCTGCCAATAGCAGCACTCTTGTCTCTGCCACAAGATCTAGAAAGACAAGAGCTTCCAGCTCACAACAGGACTGTGTGAAAGAAAGAATAGCCTTTTGATGTGTAGCAAAGTTTTGCCCAACACACACACACACGCACACCCTTGTGTGTATGTTCACAGTATTGCCTCACTGCCAAAAATGGGTGGAAATTTTCCAAAAAAGCTACAATGTTACTTGCCTTCTTCCTTTTTTATTGCATTTGAAATTCTGGTTTTATTGAGCTTGATCAACCAGGAGAATTCTACCAGTGATCTGGAATGGATATCCTCCTTCTGAGAAGGCAAAATAGAATCAAAGCACAGGCAAAGTGACTTTGCTGTGTTCACAACACCACTTGCATTCACTTGTGATTGCAGTTTTCACAGACACTCTGACAGCAAGGATGAAGGATGCCTCATAAGTGATTCAGTGTTCTTGCCTCTCCAAGTAAGGACTGAAAAAGCTGCAATTTTGTATCTCCAGCAGCCTACCAGCAAAACCAAGGGCTTCACATTCCTAGAACAAATATGGATTTTTTTTTTCCTCTCTCTGCCTCCTAAAAAAGGAAACAACAACCAACTACACAAAACCAAACAACCCCAACAACAAAACCCTAATCAAAACTCTTGCTAACTCTTTATCTGATTCAGCCACAAACAAATACATTTGTTCTTTCCCTGGTCACTTTCTTCATATCCCAGGTAATATGAAGAATACTGCAGACTTGTCAGGGCTCATGCCAGGAGCCAATGCTCCCTGTCACAGCAGATGTAGAATCAGACCCAAGCAGGCACAGAGAAGAGCAGGGTGCAATGTTGCTGTGTTCAAGGCTGCCTGATGGAAGGCAGCCACCCCAGCTGCAGCCCAGCCCTGCAACTTCCTTCCTGCTGTGCAGACCCAACTGAGACACATGCAGGGGTCACTTCTAGGACAGAAATCCCAGTCCCAAGCTTGGGGCCTGGCAGCTGGGCTACTGTGGGCGGCAGCAGGAATGCGCATTTTGGGGTCTGCAGCTGGTGTGTAGCAGCTGGCATGCAGTGGCTGGCTAAAAGTAGCTCGGGGTGGAATTTCTCTCTTGGCCACTTGGATTTGAATTTCAAGCACAAGCCACTCTCCCATCTATTTCTGTTTGCCTGCATTGTTCTTCTGCCCCAACAGCCACCAGGCACAAGAATGCTTTTCCCTTGTGGAGTAAGGAGCTGGCATTTTGGAAGAGAGCATCTCATTCCCACAAAGCAGAGTTTGAGGCATCTTAAAACAATGCTTAGCCTGTCAGTCCACCTAGGGTGACCGGAGGAAAGACCTATACCACCCAGGGCAGACTTTTCAACATCTTCCTGATCTGGCAGAGATCAGAATCTCAGCAGAAACAAGGAGGAAAGATCAAATGCTGGGATGAGCTGTGGTGGGCAGGGAGAGGAAGGACTCTGAGCTTTGTCCCCTTGCCTGGACTGAATACTTGCAGGGTTTATAGCAATTCCTTGCTACCAATCTGCTATAAATCCTGGAGCTGTTTCTAGTCCTGTTGGCATCTCCTGGATGTGGGCTTTCTCACCTGCAGAGACCTTGCTCAGCTCAATAGATACTGGAGTATCTCCTGGCATTGCTCTACCTCATGGTCTCTGTGATCACCTGTGTACCACCTGCCAGCCTGGACACCATGTCAGTGTTTCTGCCTCTCTTCAGGGATAGGGAGAGAACTGGGCAGGAAAGAGCTTTCTATGGCCAGGTTACTGACCCTTCTACCCCACAGCACAGCTGGTGCCCGGAGTCAAGCCTCTGCCCTGCTGCTTTTCCTTAGGAAAACCACATAGCTTGAGCCCACCTTCTGGCATTCCTTGGGGCAGTGGGCCAAAAAACAGCGCAGAGGTGCAAACCCACGGCAAAGGGGGTCCAGTGCTCTGTCCAGGCAGATGCACCACGGGAAAGACTTGCTCTGCAAGTGGGTACTTACTCGAGGGTCCCACACAGGGTGAGGTGTGCCCGTGCCAGGAGTGCCCTCACTTCATATACTCCCCTTCGCTCACATAGTCCATAAAAGACCCCGGCAACTCAGCAAAATCTTCCAAGACAAGACTGGTGGAGTCCTCACCCAGCAGATCACTGTCGGGCCGGGACGCCCGGGGGCGCGGGGCCGGCGGTGGCGGCGGCGGCTGCGGCGGCGCCTCAGAGACGCCGGCCTGGCCAGGGCCCGGCAGCAGCTCCTCACAGTCCTCCGACTCCCCCTCCGAGGAGGCCGGCCCAAGGACGTGGTAGAGGCTGGGCAGGCGGATGTCGAAGCGAAGGCCAAACTTGGCGAAGAGCTTCTCGTTGAGGGAGTAGAGCTTCTCCGAAATGTCATACCCCAGATGGGAGGAGAAGAGGCGGGCGATGTAGCGGTCCTTCCTCAGGAGGAGATACAGCTTCTTCCTCGGCCAGGTGATGTAGCTGCAGTCGGTCTCGGCTGTCAGCGTCACCTGTGGGGCAGGGAGTGAGTGGAGTAAATCCCAGTGCCTGGGCGGGCTCACCCACCTTGGAGCCATGTGCTTCACTCACACAGGGAGTGCCCTCAGCCCCTTTGAATACTACCCCCTTTGGAGATTGTAGGGCTGGAGAGCCAGATTGTCCTGGTTGAATGACTGGATAAAGTCTTACCTGCTGCTGTTTCCTCTCCTAAGAAGGCAAAGACCCCATTTTTCTATGCAATCAGTACCACGTCCTCATTTAACCCAGCCACATGGATGGCTATGATTCACCCTCTTGCTTTCAGATGATGCTCCCTATCGACATCTGAGGGATGGAGCTGAAATGAACAGGGCAGCACAGACATCCCTATCCCTCAGAAATGCTACAGAGGAGGCTATTTTTGCCTGCACAGCAAGCCTGAGTTTCCAGCAATGAGCCCTGGGGGAGGCTGCTGACCCAATGTGCTGCTGGATTGCAGAGCCCCACAGGCCCTGCTCCAAGAAGGCCCTGAGTGTTGGAAGAGCCACCTGAAAGGCTTCCCTGGTCATCCTGTGCCTGAGGGACATCCTGTCTCAGCAGTTCTGCTAGACTCTGTAGGGCTGAATGGCCCTGAAGGGCATTGCAGCACAGCTCAGTCAGAGAGGAAATGAAAGGTTTTATTGTGTTCATGTATATGTAGAAAACTCACAAGGATTGATCAGATTGATTTTAGAGAACATTTCATTTTCCTTCTGGTTTTGCCAGTGTAAAGAGAGACCTTTTCCCCCCTAAGTGTAGGATAAGAACAATTTCAGTCAAAAACATTATATAGAATGTGTGTATTATAACAAATAATAATAATAAAGACAAGAAATGCAGGAAGGGTCAAGCTGCCCTGGGCCAAAGAAGAACATCCGAGTGTAATGGAGACACTGGCATGCGAACAAGTGCCGGAACCAAAATATCCCGGGGGCTCCCTTTCACTCTGTGCCCAGGGGTCTCCTTGGTCAGCCGCCATGGCAGAGGGCCACTGGGAAGCTGAACATGGCTTGGCTGCGTGTGTGTGTCCTTGGGTTTGATATTTGATGCCATTGCCCTGCAAACAGCTGTCTGATGAAAGAAATATAGGAGATAAAACCTGAGAACTTTCCCAGGCCAGGCAAGCAAAAAGAAGGGTCACGCAGAAATTGAAACAACTGGAATCTCATTTTCCTAACCAACCTCTGGTGCAGTGATCAAAAGTGATCCCTTCTTGTGAGGGATTGAGATGCAATAAGCAAACCTGCCACCCAACAAGGACAGCAAGACCGATTTCACCCTGAGTCCCCCTGACACAAGTGCTCCGGCATCAGCAAGAGCCTGTAATTCAGCCTTCTGGGGGAAAGTGCCAGCCCTGAAACCAAACTCCTTCAGGCACTGGGACCCAACAGTCCTGTGGGAAGCAATCAGCCAAAGCAGAATCTCAAGGAAGGCAGCTATTCTCGTAGACTAAGTCATGCTTCTGCCATTTTTCAGTGGGCCCAGAATTGAAATTGTTCAATCCAGAGAGCAATGGGGCAAGAAAAACTTCAGGCAAGAAAAACCTTCCACCAGCAAAGACTCAGAGTCCAACATGCACTTTTTAAACCAAATTATTGTGTTGCTAAGACAAGGTTGAGAGAAGTTACAGAGTTTTATTAGCTGCTTGGGTGAGAGGGACTAGTGTGTTAAACAGCTGCCAAAAGCAGCACATCACCATGGTTAGCATGGCCACCAAGAGTAAGGTCCTTCCAGATACATGGACTGGTCAAGTGACACCTGGTGACTGCTGGTCTCACACAGCAGCTACTTCTTCATGCTCCTCTGTAAGCACACTGGGGTTTAGGCATTTCCAGCATATGGCCTTCCCTACATAGGGCTCTAGCTCCCCATCCTGATGCCAGGCACAGCTGACCTCACTGACCAGCCCTGTCCTGCAGAGCAGGAGATGTGCCAGAGCGTGGTGCTGGCAGGGCTGGTGCAGCCTGGCCCCAGTCTGCTCCCAGGCTGTCTCATGCACCACAGGTGAAGAGCCTCAGGAGGTCTGGGAACATTCATGTCCACAGAAATCAGCTCAGAAAATGCTGCAGATGTCTTTGCAGGTTGCATGCCTGCAGTCAGCCATTGCAGTCAGCCATTTCCCTGCCCGTAGCCCATCACTCTCTCTGCTGGATTCTTGGGCAAATACAGCCCAGGAGCTAGCAGCAGTCTGCTGCCAGATTGAAGACCTGTGCAAAACATGAGATACACCAGCCCTAGCACAGCCATGCTGTTGTTGCCTTTTCTACTTCATTATCTTGCTCCAACATCCCTATTTCTGCTCACTGTCTGTAGCCCTGTGCCACAGTCACATAGGCAGCTATCTCCTACCACCATAATCACTGGTGATGGCACTGTTTTCAGGAGCAATCACCATGAACCTTTCACACATGAGCCAAATTCAGACCCTAGGAAAACAGATTTGGAGAGCTGCCCTGGTTTAACCAAGTTTGCTTGGGGCTACCTACCCTCATGAGAAAGCATCATTCCCTCATGACCCTCCCATGCTCCCAAGGGATTAGAAAGATCCCTCCTCATATGCCCTAATTGACATAATGAGCATTGACATCCTGACAGGTATCAGGCCATCCTGAGATGTGCATTAAAGACAGGGAGATGTAGGCTTAAGTAATCTTTTCCAGAAAGAAAGCCAAGATACACTGTGGGGTGTTGACAGCAAGGCCAAAATCCTTTCAGTTACTGCAAATGAGAATTGGTCTGGCCTCTCAGCAGGGGATCTTTCTGCTCAGAAAGAACCATATTCGGGTGTGAATCATCCTTTGTGCTTCTCCACCCAAAACACATGACCATCAGAAACTTCTGTGAGGGACAGGATGTTTGTGGATTTACATCACTGCTGCACATTGCCACGGCTGCCATCCTGATTCTAGGACAATGCCCCCTGCTAGCAGCATGCAGGGCAAATACAGGGTACTGTATTTGCAGTACAGGTACTGGAGAACACTGTTAGGGAAGAGAGCTGGCAGTCTGACACCTCCATTCCCTGATAAACAGGGATAGCACCCTCCTTGCTATCAGCAGATAGTAGGAGCATGTCCTGAGGTCTTCAGAACAAGGTAGGAAAAAAGGTTAAACAGCTGATCACACAATCCTGGGCTGGCTAAACCACCAGGAAGGGGAGTAAAGTACTCCTGGTCAGCTTTGAATGCACAATGAGGCCTCTCTACCTCCTTCTCAGATGTGCAGCAAAGCACCAAGGAGTGAAGCTGAGCTGTGGTTACCTGGAAAGTTCCTTCCTCAGAAGGTCGCAGCGACTCCCATTCTGGAGAGTCCAGGAACTGGTATGGAAAGACGTAGTGAAGGAATTGTCCGTCCTGGCACACTCGGATCCTGCAGAGGACAGGTGAGGCAGACAGGCTTAGGCCACAAAACAGATGTCACATAAATCTGATAGCTCCAACAGTGTGTCCCACCAGGGAGGAAAGAAATACTTGTCTCACAGATGTCTCATACCCTCTTGGGACAGATGCAGGTGCTATAGTGATGAGGCTATCCCTCCTTTCTCTGTGGGATTTGCTGCCATTTCCCCATACTCCATCTGTGTTCTGTTCCTTGCTACAAAGGCAGCCCTCACAGGTGCAATGCTTGGGCCTAACCCAGGACTTGTCAGCCCACAGGACTGCTGCTTTCTAGGTACTTCTAAGCCAGCCTGTGGCTCTTCATACTTGTATCTCCTTCCTGTCTCCAGGATTGCATGAGGGCATTCCCAGTCTTGGTACTGGGAAGTCACTACACTCTGGATCCCCCAAAATCCCACTGCCCATGGTTCCTCACAGATCACCCTGAGAGCTCATAGTTTGCTGCACACTAATGCTCACTTTCTCTTGGCCTTCTGAGTATCCCTTTTGCCTACTTTTGCTACAATTGCCTGCCAGGGTCAAGGTCAAACGTGCACTGAGCTCTGCTGTGGGAACAGAGAAGGACCTGCACGGGCCTGAAGCAAGGACAATGCCTGGGCACTCTGGAGTTCTATTCATAGCTCTGCATCACCAGACTTGGGGCCTCTTGCTCTCCTGTCACTGTGTACCCCTGCTGTATGATACACAAAGGCAATTCTTGCCTTCAGGAGTTAAAAGACTCTGTTCACCTCTGGCTTCTAATCACCTGGTAGTGCTGCCTGCAAGGGTCATGGATTGTAAGGCACATTTCCTAATCCAGGCATATTCTGCATTTCCAAGACCCCACTTGCTCAGTTTAAGAAAAAGCACCATAAGAGCAATTCTCTGCAGGGTCAGCAAGGACCTCACAAGGCAATAGAGTGGGTAACTAGGAAAAGTAAATCCATTCCCACCTCCATGGAGCATCCTTTACCAGCCAAGATGCATACTTCCCACTGCAAAAGAGAGCCCAACAACTACCCACCATCACCATCTTACTGATGTGCTGCAGCACTCTCACGCCCACAGAGGTAGCATCACATTATCCAGTGCAGGTCAAGACAGCACAGACTCTTCCCCAGCAATATTATTTACTGATTCAGTAAACCTCAGAGCCAGCTGCTCACCAGAGATGTTTGGTAAGGTGAAGCACTACTGGAAACACACATACCAAATTTATCTCCAGTGCTTTGCCATTCAATATCCTGGTGGACCCAGGGTGCTCTTAACACATCTTAGAAAAGGGATCAACACCAAAAAAAAGGAAGGTCAGTCATTCTTCTTTGCAAACTCCCTCACCAGAGAGGATTGGCCACTGCAGTAAAACAGGAGCCCCAGGTGATGATTTGTATTCCCAAAGGAAAATCCTTGTGGGACACACTTCCTGCAGCTCAGCACTGCTACTATTTAGAGGTCTTCTTCCTTTCCCATTCTTATGTAACATTAGTGCCAAGTTTTTGGCAGCAGACTGGAAGCCAAAACTATTGCTATTTGTACGCATCTGGATTTTGCAAATTGTTAAGTGTATATGCTGCTAAAGGCAGCAAATCTCAGGTGAACAAATGCCAGTACTTGATCACTCAATCAAATCTCCAGTGTCACTCTCTAGAGGTCCCTGAGGTTCTCCTTGGTGGTCAAGAAGAAGGAGTATCATAAATGCTTGACAGCACAGGGAAAGAAAGACACCTGATTAGGCAGGATCCACTACAGGAAAATACTCTCTCTTTTGAGGAAATGGTGCTCAAAGTGAAAAATGTCAAAGCCCTGAGGGTTGGGGTGTTGGGAACAGGAACTTCTCCCTGAACATGGCTGGCTAGGGAGAGCAGGTGAACTGAGGCCTCAGCACACTCAGCACACAGCTCTTCACATCACAGAGGTGTGCCTGGTACCCCCAGGTCAGACACACTGCTCTCCTGCCTTGAGAAACACATTCTCACAGCCAGTCTGCTCCCATCAGAATTAAGATCACTTCAAAATGACAGACAAAGGGGTAAGGATTCATCAAAAGTATCACAGGTAAGGCTGAGCTCCACTTCCTTGCCCACAGCTTGAGTCCGCAAACCATTCCCTGAAATACTCTTAAGTTAGAAAAACAAAACAAAACTAACGTCCCAAAAAGCAAATTTCCCCCTTCCCCAACAAACTGATGCATATCTCAGATCCTTATCAGAGGAAGGAAACATTCCTCACCCCAGTTTCTACAGAGGGTGATAATACAACAAAAAGCCAAGCAGTTTGCTGTCAGACTTTGTTCAGAGATGGGGGAGCCTTTACCTGCCAGACAGCAGCAGTGAGAGGCGGTCGATGGGCGTCTTGCCCTCCACTGCATAATTCTGGTCTCTGACTAGTGACTGCACCTGCTCTTCACAGCATTTCACAATTTCCTTGTAGACTTCCAGGGGCACCTGCAAGGGCAGGTACATGGTCTTGTAGAGGAGGTCAAACTCTTCTGGGATGGTGTTTCTGCGGAGCCGGTACGCCAGGTGAGCCAGCTGAATCAAGCAGGCGAGGACCAGCAGCATGTTCCAGATGAAGATGTCCAGCCCACAAGCACTGAGCCAGCCCCACAGAGCGTAGCAGAAGTAGCCTGGGGCCAGGAGGCCAAAGATATAGAGAGACCCAAAGATGCCACTTCCCCCCATGTAACCCAGGAGGACAATGCAGCTGGCCAGCTGGTAGGCTGCTTCCTCTGTAATCTCCTTCCAAGCATCACACACCGGAGGCTGGAGAACAGCCTGGTCCCAGGAGGGGCTGTTTGCGCTCATCCTACCCCACTCCCCACCCTCCCCAGCCGTCCTGTGCTCAAAATGAATTGTCATACACAAAGGGTGCTGCAGAGGTTGGAAAGCAGAGCTGCTAGGTAGCTGTTCCTCCTCCTCTTCCTTTTGTGCACCGTCTGGTCCCACAGCAGTGTTTCAAAGTAACATGCTAAAAAAGTGCTGCCGAATGTTTTTGCACTCGAAAAATTCCAAAAGCTTTCGCTTCTCCTCTTTGTGGCTCACAAAGCGTCGGCTGGCCCCCTTCTTAGCCACAATAGTGAGAAAAGAAGCTGGCAAATGTGAGGCCAAAAGAGCTCGGTCAGAAAAAGAGTCGAGGCCATTAGCTGGAAAACTCACAGACGGGACAGAGATCTCCTTGCACTGCCTGTCTCGCCCGCGCTGCAGCAAATGGAATAGCGACCGTGAGAGAGCAGCAGAGGGAGCTGGTGATGAGTGTGGAATGTGTATCTCTTGGCAGTGGAACGGAGAGAGACCCCAAATGGATAACCATGTTTGGAATTGAAATCCAAGGAGCAAAAGCAGCGAGGAGAACAGAGAGCAAGCATGCACCCGCTACTTAACATAACTCAGGCGGCCAGATAAGCCCAGCACAGCGCGAGGAGGGGAAAGGAGAAGGGAAAACAGCCAGCTTATCATGGCGAGCTCCAGTCACACATCAGGCTCTCCACTGCTCTGCACTCCTGCAAGAGAGTGACTTTCACCCAGCACAAAAAAGGAAAAAGGTCACCCCCTTTTCCCACTGTGGTTCGTAACTGTGGCAGGGACTTGGCAAAAGAAGAGAGGCTGGCTCTCAATTAATACTCTCCAGGTCCGTTACAGCCTCCCCTTACTCCAGCGAGCTTCCTCTCATGGGGTGTTTTAGATCAACGGGCATAAGGAAAAGCTTTGCACAGCCAGAGAACTGTGAATGCAAGGGATAAAACTAGAGCAAACAAACCTCTGGCACCCAGTTTCATCTATCATGAAGATGACACTATCCAGCCTGCCAAAAGCTTTGTGAGCATGTAACACTTGGAAGCACATTTTGTGGGGAAATCCTAGTTGAGGGATTACAAGTTCTGTTGGGAAGCACCCTTGAGAAACATCATCTCACATTCTCATTTTTCTAATATCTACTTAGAACCTGCCCTAGACCTTCATTTAGCCCAATGAGGACAGCCAACACTTCCCACTCAGGTAACCCAGGACAGAGGCACAAGAGGGAGCCTTTGAGGTCAGTCCTCCATGGTCAGCTACACAAAACATGCGTAAATGCAATTCCTCCCCTGCTTCAAGTAACACATTATCAGTCACACAGGCAGGATCTGCCCCACTGCCAGGATGCAATTACATTTCAGGCACTGACGCAACCCACGTGGTCTCCCATCCCAGTGTGAAGTCAGCCTGCACAGGTCAGTGGGGTAGAGATAGGGTTTCAAGGGTGGTCGTGTTTCAGGACGAGCTTGCAGCTGCCCTGCCTAACATGCCATTCCCATTGGCACCATTCAGTTAAAGACACACTGATTGCCTCTCCTAACTAACAGTGCTCTGGAATAACACTGTCTCCCAGGCAAGGCTGCAGTAATGCTTTATGACAAACTTCAAGAATCCATCGTGGTTTTGGCCAGCACAATCTTATTTCTGCAATGATGAGGCCACGTGCAATACAGAGCTGCATGGTTCCTAAGAGCCATCCTGGCAGGCTGACCCGTGGGAAGGAAAGAAGACAAATTAAGCTTTGCACAGGGTGAGCACAGTCCATTCAGAAAGGTGCTTTCTGTTAAGGACAAAGTGAAAAAAACAGTGAACCTGGTCTTCAGAGGCCCCTTAACTAAGTGAAGAAATAAATCCTAGCTACTGAAGCAGAAGAACACCCATCTGCAAGAGTTATGGGGAAATGAAGAACTTTCTCTCAACCTTCTCTCCAAAGCAGGACAGATGATCTTATAGCTAAAAAAGCACCACAATAAAAAAATCTTGGGATCCAGGCTCTGTTTTTCATACCATTGCCATATACTCGCTATATGATCCTGACAACAACTTGTGTACCTTTAGGCCTCTGCAAAAAATCTGTAAGGAGCCTTCTCTCCAAGATAGGCTGACATCTGATAAAATGGGGAGTTGGGATATCAAGATTGTGAACACTTAGGAGAAAGATACTTTACATAAGATCTGTGAGACAAAACTGAACTGCTATGAGAAGAAATGTAGAACTACATTAGAGGAAGCATCCTGAGAAGCACCATTGCATTTTCTCCTACCTTTTAATACTACCAAAACCCTTTTGCAGGCGCATCAAAGAAAGTGGAAAAAAAGGAAGTTAGTAATTTCATTCTTCTGTTAGGTAAATTCCTGAGTAAAAAATAACTGTGTTAATGACTCATTAGGACAAGAAAAGCCTTCATCTGACATCTTCTAGGACATAAATAGTGGTGTTGCAGTGATGCTGAAGCCAGCACCGTGGGTGAGGATGACCTGTTGTGATTTCTCTGCGAAAGGCAGACAGGAAGCTTTCAACCCACGGCAATAGCAGCACAAAGCTCTCATTAGAAACAACACAACTTTTCTGCTGGGTGTCAATGTGACATTGTAGAGAGAATGATACAGCACTTTAAAAGGTAGATTTCGGAGCACACACTAGAGATTAACTTAGTGTTTTCACTCAAATTTCTAAAAGGAAGACTAGTAAAGTGATTGAACCACAAAGACTAAATCTTCCTTTCTCCCTTGACAGTACCATGGCCATACAGATCATCTTCACAGCACTTTCAGTTTTCTACTCAGCAAAAGTAAAAAACCCTCTTATTACCACAGAGACATTTTATTTTCATGCCTTGCTCTGGATTAAATGCCCTTCATCCAGGGACACTGGTTCATCCAAGACAAATGCTCAAAAGCCAATACTGATTCAGTAGGAAAGGGATTGAATCAAATACCAAAGCTGAAAGCAATTTAGAATGAAGATGGCAAGTTCATAGAAAACACCTGAGCAACATTAACACCCTTCCCTGGAAGTACACACATAAGCATTACTACAAAATGTGTTTGTGAAAAACAGACACGTCAAGCTTTTCAGCACTGAAACAGGCAGTGTGGAAACAGGTACTTCACTATTTCCCCACTTAAAATGGACTCAACCAGTAGCACTTAATATTTAGCTGCATGTGATGATGCAACACAGGTACAGCCTGCACTATGTTTGACAAATAAATCCTCTGTCCTTGAGAGCCACACAACACAGAGATTATCAGTCCCAAATCTCACAGCAGCTGCATGACTGGTTATTTTGCCCATCCTTTAGGAAGTCATCAGGTTCACTACTGATCCCTTCAGCTGAAAACCAGTTCAATCACCTGTGTTGAGGACACTAAGACCTTGGTAGCTTGAAGTCAGAGAGGGCATAATCAAACACCTCTTGATTTATTATATAGTGCATTGCTGGAATTAGTCTGCAGAACTGTTACTTACACATGAATAAACACTGTAGCTCCAAAATATACACATTTGATTTACAACTGCTGGGAAAGGTCTCAAGCTTACTCCAGACTAGCTCACAGCGAATTACAAAGGTTCAAAGATGGTATGTACTGTATCTAGCTGTGCTACTCTATAGTTTAGTCAAGTTTCCTGCTACTGCTGTGTGTGCTACACACCCTCAAGGTACCCACCACCCTGTGCAGGGCCATGTCTGTCACCAACACCATCAGTAACTATTAACACATGTTTTGCGGAGAAAAGAAGAAACCTCACAACTTGTAAAAGTTGTAAAGCCCGGTATGCTTTATTACGACGCGCGCCGGACGCAAGACTCCCCAAAAGGGCATGCGTACCCCTGAAGATTTCAGACCTCCTTTTATCCCCCTTCCAAATGCATATGCATACAGTTTCACAATAAGTTCATACATATTCATCTTGCATGACACTTAGCACTAGTTCTTCTTTATCAAAGGAATTTCTAGGTCGGGGCAAATTGACCTCGTGGTCTTTTCTGTTTTTCTTTTTCTGTCTCTTTGCTATCTCGGCATGCGAGTTTTTCTTTCAGCTTTGGCCTCACAGACTTTTCACTACTGTTAGACACTTCACCTAATTCAGGATGGATCCTTACTCTGTCTCACAGTTTCCTTCAGAAACTCATCAGGAGAAAAAGTAATTAGTGATACCATATTCAGGAAAGTCAACTCACCACAAGAGGAGTAACATTAGGATTGCACAATTACATACGATGAAGTCAGAAAAGCCCCACCTGTAACAACCCAGAAATTGCACCTGATGTTTCTCTAGGTTGTAAGAAGGAATCAAAAGCAACAACTACCATCTCATACAACACTATAATCTCATGCAAGTGAAAAAAGCCAGAAAACATAAGTCCATGCATGCATAGCACAAGACCAACACAACAAAAACTGAGCATAAGGAAAAGATCTACTTTGAGGCAAGTAACCTGTACATACAAGTCACTTGCAGTGACAGGGAGCAGTTCTCTGCTCCCTTTCTGTTGAAGAACTACCGGGTCAAGCGAGTTTGAGATGGGAAGTACCTAATTTTTCATTACAAAGAATGAAGCTCGGGTAATGGTATTCAAACATCTCAGAAGAATTAAAACATGGGGAAATCAAATACAGTTTTGACTCTAAGGAAGTTCATTTCATAGGACTGTGGTCACCTTTGTACAAACATAGTTACAGCTACTGTCACAAACAGCACTGCAAGCTTCAGCACGACTGCTGAAAGCTGCAAGTGTGCAATGCTATTAGCATGATTTCACAATTTGCATCAGTGGGAAAACCCAGCAAAACCCTCTCTGTTCAACCAAACCACCACAGTAACCATTAGGAAGAAAGAGTTCCTATGTTAATGATTAAGCAGGCTTTTCTCATTCTCTCATTCCTGCAGCACACCGTTTTCAGTAAGGAGGGCACTGTCATTTCTTTACTTAAAAAGAAACAGAAGTCAGGAACACTGGTCATTTTCAGCCTTTTATTAAGAGGAAAAAATATATTTTCTATAGCAGTGGTCAAGAGCAAACAGTGGAAAAGCTACAGATGTGATGCATACTCTGTCATTAAAGACTCTTCATAAATAGATTCTTTGTTTATATTTGCTCTTTCAATTAACTTGCAGAAATAATTTATTTTGCAGCTTTCCAGAACAGTCACACCAAAGACATCATCTAGAAGAGAAAGGAAACACAGCTTCACAAAACATGGATTTCCACTGGATATTGAGCAACAGTTCAACAATCAACAAAAAAACCCCAGCACAAACCCACAAAAACCAACTCCCACGTGTCCTAGCACCAGAAATCTAAACTGAGGTTTGAATCTCTTAGCAGACAACAGAGGCAGCACCATTCTCTACTGCTGAAGGGTGACTCACAGAGGCTGTGTGCTGCCAAGGGCTTCACCACCCTCACAGGACAGCAATGTTGGCTGCAGTGTCAATGAGAATTGCTCTGCCTTCTCTCTCATAAGGGCAACACCATCACAAACACTACTCTGGGCCTTCCAGGGGCACCAGCTGAGGGGCCAGGGCACTTCAGAGGCAGAGGTGCTGAAGGCTGTACTCACCCCACTCAGTCCTGCTCATCTCACTCATATCTTGAAGCCCAGAGCTCTCATACACTCTTTGTGAGCTTCAATTAAGTGCCCACAATTTTCTTCTCCCTTCTCAATAATGCTGCAAAACAAAAAGATTTCCAGGCTTCAGCAATAAAATGTTCACTTATTTTTAATAAAGAAACAGAACTGACAACTGTTGGGGACTATTAAAATCCCTATTAGGATCCAGAGATATTTTTTTCCCTATCCTGTCCAGGGTAGTGCTGTTTTGGACAACATAAAACTATCCCAAAAAGTTACCCAGGTCTGGAGCTGTGCACCTAAAACTCTGACAGCAGGCAGAACAGAACTTCCTGTTAACAGGCCAGGGTCTATTCTGGGCATGTCTGGATGGGGATTGGTTATACAACACAAGGCTGTCACACCATCAAGTATGCTGAGCCGGCCAGTTTCAAATTATTCAGTAGGGAAGCAACAGAATTTCTCCAGTAAGAGAACAATACAGAACAGGTTAACTAGTAAATGATAATTTAATCCAGCTTCAGTTGCAATTTAAGGACCCTGAAGCAAAAAGCAAAACAAAACACAACACCTGTCCAGCTATTGTCAAAAAAATGATTCACCACATATGGTAACTTTTGATGTAACTAATCTATCCAAGTAAGAGCCTATCATTGTTGGTATATTATGTATGCCACAAAAGCAGTTCAGACTTTCTTTTGACTGAATGTCAGAGCTGTTTAGTTTTCTTCTTGGGTTTTATTACAAAGAGCATGGACACATCCCCTGGCTGCCCAGGGCAACTCCATCTGAGCAGTAACATCCATCCCACCACCCTTTTCTTAGGGTGCCCTGGAGTCACTCTCACTCTACTGTGTAATTAGACATCCTTCCCTAAATTTAGCAAAAACACTGTTCAGTATTATGCCACCTGCCAAACACCATCCATACCACCAGCAAAGTAAAAAAAAAGACAACTTGGTCATAAGATTAAAGTTTTTTAAACTTTAAAGATTGGCTGTCAAAGACAAAGGAGCTCCATTTGAAGGGTGCACTTCATACCATTTTATAGGTCTTATGATCATGACTAAGCCTATAATTACCAATGCAGCTATATAGGCCACTGTCGAATTTTGAACTTCTCTGGGAAATGTCATCCTCTGAGACTCAAAAAAACCAGAGTATTTTTCTTTATTGAAAAGAGAATGTAATTTTACTCAGGTGAACAATAAAGAAGTTATCACCTGCTGGTACGTGTTGCTCAATCAACAATAGTGAAGATTTACAAGCAGCATTAAAAGCTGATCTTTGAAACCTGTTTTAAACACGGGCTATGAGGTTTTAAACTCCTAATTTCTAAATAATCCTTTAAAGACAGTTTCCTCTCCTTCTCCACACTCTCCCTCCTCCCTCGGACGCTCCAGCACCCCCGTCCAGGATGGGGA